CTTTAAGTACAACCAGATATGTTGAGTTTGAGTGACTTAGGTAGAGACATCATGGTATGGATACAAGAAAAGATTTAAAAAATATACACATATATAAAATGACAGTTTGGGTGGGCCACAACACATACAACATGCCCCTTTGAGAATATTTCATAATGTCAAAAATACCTTAATCTACTGACACTATAGGTACCAAAACAACTTTAGCTTAATGAAGCAGCTTTGGTGTAGAGATCATGCCCCCTGCAGTCTCGCTGCTCAATTCTCTGCTAGTTAACTCACAGTTTTTTCTGTTTATGCTGGCATAGCCACTCCTCCCTCTGGCTGTGACTAACACAGTCTCCCTACACTGAAAAAGAATCAAAATATTTTATCTTCTCTAATTGCACAGTGTGTTTAATTTAGAATGTCTTATATTCTGCTATGTTTATAGCCTACTAGGTGCTTTAACAGCCTCCAGTGTGTAATCACATTTCAAATAACAAATTCTATTTTAAACACACTGTGCAATAAGGGGAAGTATGCAGGAAGCATATATGAATCACATGCAGGAAGGTGTGGCTAGAACTGCATAGACAAAGTGATTTAACTTCTAAATGGAAGATAAATGAGCATTGAGACTGATCTATACACCAAAACTGCTTCATTAAGCTAAAGTTGTTTTGGTGCTTACAGTATCTATTTAAGTGTGGTGCAATGACTCTTTGAGTTCAGTACCTCCATGTTTTAAAGATTTGACAAAAATGGAACTCTCCCAAACCAAATCAAGTTAAGAATGAAAGACTGCACAATAACTACTACAGTAAACTGCATTGGTTAAGGTGCAGGATATATTACAATGAAGGATTTGTCTGTCTGCTAGAAAATTATGTGCATTGTAAAAGTACAAATAATGAGGGCAATTGACATCACTGGTCTAATAAGTACCCTATAATAAAACATGTCCTATGTATGATGACAGTATGAGCGCAGAAATTCTCAGGTTTATAGTGATGGGTATTATGAAGAATTGAAATCAAATAGTAAAATTTAGGCCAAAAGTACTGATTTGGATTATTTCCCCAATTTGGCTACTGTCACAGCTTGGCTATTTTAGACTACGTTGGGTTTCTGTTCACTACAGTTTTGTATTTGAGTAAATCCCAAAAATGTGATAAACACTGACCCCCGGAGGTAAGGCATGCTTCCTAACTTTTGGAGGTATTGGATCTAAATGGGTGGACCTGCCTGGGAAGTTGGTGTGGCCACTAACTGAAGGCGTGTGTCAGTCTGGTATAAAGCACGCCAGGCTGACAGAGCTTCTGTGCCGGCTTCCCGACTACTGGATAATGCAGAGAGAGCTGCAGTACTAGTGCCTGCTGTGTCTAATGATATTCTCATCCTTTCCTGTCCTGATGGGGACAGTTCCCTGGTATTCCTGTATGTAGGAAATCAGGACTGTGGGACAGGACTCCAAAACTGTTTCTCAAGCCAAAAGTGGGACAGTGGGGAGACCTTGGTAATCTCAGACACACTAACCCCTGGAGGTAATGGCAGACACTAACCCCTTGACATAATGTCACACATGGCAGACACTAAGGGCAATGGCATTAATGGCAGACACTAACCCCCCTCATGCTGCAGCCGCCCGAGCACTCTGCAGAGGGCCTCAGGCGGCTGCAGCTTTGCCCGGGCTGGTGCGTCCATGAGGGTGCAAGCCCGGGCGCAGCATGAGGAGAGGGGCTGACAGGAGGGAAGTGCTCAGTGCTCCCTCCGGTCACTCCCTCACTGTAGCGTGGCCGAGCCCTGTATGGTCCGCGGGTACAGGGAGCATCTGTCTCCTGTAACCGGCCGGACTAACACTGAGTGTGTACTTCCTTTTAGTCCGGCTGGGTATAGGAAACAAAAGCTCCCTGTATCCGCAGACCATACAGAGCTCGGCCACGCTACAACAGAGGTAGGGGAGGGGGGAGAAAGAAATTGACGGGGGAAGAAATTGACGGGGGGAAGAAATTGATTGGAGGGGAGAAAGAGGAGAAATTGGACGGGGGAGAAATTGACGGGGGAGAAATTGACGGGGACGGGGAGAAATTGATGGGGACGGGGAGAAATTGACGGGGTGAGAAATTGACAGGGGGGGAGAAATTGACGGAGGGGGGAATGAGAGTGGGGAGGGGAGGGGAGAAGAGAGTAACAAGGGAGGGGGGAGAGATTGACATCCATCACACACACACACACACAATCACACACAATGCACCTCTTGCCCACAGAAAAACACACAATGCATTACACACACACAGACACGCACACACAAGCAATGCAACCCTTACACACAATGCATCCCTTACACACACAGAAACACACAATGCACCTCTTACAGACGCACACACTGCATCCTGTACATACACAGAAACACACCTTGCAGCCCACACATACAAACACAGATTCACACAATGCATTCCTTACACACATATCAGGACATCCCCTACACACTCCACCCCCTGTGAACAAACTCATTGGTGAAACATGAAGGTGGACCCTGGGACCCAGAACTTGAGCTGTGTAAAGGGCTCCCAAAAAATGGAGCTGCTTCCCGTTCTCCCAGAACAGTTACAAACAGCCTCCAGAGAGCCTGTTCTACACCAGACCAGTGGAGCCAGACTTCAGCTAGAGCCCATCATCATCCTCATCTGGTTGTAAGTAGGCAATCTAGTATATTTTTCGTGGCACTAATCTCTAATTTACCTCACATTAAAGAAACACTATAGTCCCCAGAACCACTGCAGCTTAATGTAGTGGTTCTTGTGTCTCTAGCCTGTCCCTGCAGGCCTTTTAATGTACACACGGCAGCACTGCAGCACTGGCGTTAGTTAACATGGCAGATCATATGTGTGGGGCATTGTGATGTCACATGGGGGGGCAGCAAACTTTACTTTTGCCTAGGGCGGCAAAAATTCTTGCACCAGCCCTGCACACACACTGCATACACTAACACAACACAACACACACACTGCATACACTAACACACACACACACTACATACACTAACACAACACACACTACATACACTAACTCGACACACTGCATACACTAACACAACACACACACACTGCATACACTAACACAACACACACACTACATACACTAACATAACACACACCCTGCATACACTAAAACAACACACACACACTGCATACACTAACACAACACACACTACATACACTAACACAACACACACCCTGCATACACTAACACAACACACACACACTGCATACACCAATACAATACACACTCTGCATACACCAATACAACACACACATTGCATACACCAATACAATACACACACTGCATACACTAGCACACACTCTGCATTCACTACACATTAACACACTCTCTGCATTCACTGTACACACAGCATCCACTACACATCCTGTATTTACAGTACACACACTACATCCACCACAAATTGAAACACTCTGCATTCACTATACACAGACACTACATCCACTACAGACACTGCATCCACTAAACACATTACATCTAGTACACACAAACACTACATCCACTACACAAACACACACATCACTGTACACACACTACATCCACTACTCAAACACACTCTACGTTCACTATACACACTGCATCCGCTACACAAACACACACTCTGCATTCACTGCACAAACAGTATCTAATACACACAATCCTATTCACTTCCACTATATACACCACATTCAGTCCTGGATCATTGTCAGCGGACTAGGTAAGGGGTGGGCGGGCCTGGGTGGGAGGGAAGGCGAGGGGGCCCCAGACCTTGTGCTTTGTCAGAGGCCCCAAAATTTCTGACGGCGGCCCTGACTACTAGATGTAATGTCAGAGACACTAACCACTGGAGGTAATGTCACACACTAACCACTGGAGGTAATGTCAGAAACACTAACTACTAGAGGTCATGTCAGACCCACTAACCACTGAAGGTAATTGGAGACACACTAACCGATGGAGGTCATGTCAGACACACTACCCCCTGGATGTTATGTCAGACACAGTAACCCCTGGAAGTAATGTCACACACCCCAAAGAAGGTGAGAAGCACTAACCCCTATCTGGAAGTAGGGTGACCTTGTTAATAACGTAAGCCTTGGCTATAAAAGGTGAGATATACTATAACAAGTGGAATATGTTATACACTCACTATACAATGCAAGCCACACTAGCCCTTAGCTGTTAACATGTTTAAATGAGACATATTAGCTTCTGGCTGTAAGAGATAAACACCAAAGCCCTGGCTGTAAGAAGACAGTTAAATAAGCCTTATCTGTAAGAGGTAAAAAAATAAAAATAGCCCTGACTGTCAAAAATGAGCCACACTAGTTCCTGGCTTTATGAATTGAGAAAAACTAGCCCTGGCTTTTAGGAATGAGACATTTTTGTAAAATAAAATGAGGCAAGCTTGCCCTGGCTGCAAGCAGTGAGATTCAGTAGCCCAGGCTGTGGCAAGGGATGCACACTATCCCCTGCTTGTAATAAGCAGTCTCTGGCTGTAAGTAGTGATATTCAGTAGCCTTGGTAGCAAAATGTTAGACACATTGGCCTTGGCTGTAAGGAGGGAGATTCATTTGCCCTGGCTATAAGGAGTGAGATTCACTAGTACCCAGCTGTAAGGAGGTTGGGGGGAGAAATTCAGTAGTCCCTGGCTGTAAAGTGGGAGACTCAATAGACTCCAGTTCTGAGGAGGGAGTTTCAGTAGTCCCTGGGCTGCAGGAAGCAGTCTCTGGCTATAACAAGTGACATTCAGCAGCCATATCTGAAATAATTTACACACAGTAGCTCCTGGATGTAAGTAGCACTGTTTGGCTATAAAAAGTTAAATTCAGAAGCCCCTGGCTGAGTCTGGCTAGCCCTTGCTGAGAGTGTGCAGGCTATGAGAGCAGAGGGTGTAGATATGTCTCATTCCCACGTGGGGGCTGACGTTGACTGCTCTCTACTGAGTGTTCAGCTATAAAACCAATCTATCCAGAGCTGGGAGAACAGGCTCTCTGTCTGATCAAACAGCTTCACATCTCACAGCAACTACACAACTCTGAGCATTCAGCAGCTAACAGCACAGACTGGACAAGCAGTGCACATACAGAGACAAAATCCAGACAGAACCAACAGCAAGGAGCTCAGACTGGGGCAGGGAACCAGAACCAACAGCAAGGAGCCCAGACTGGGGCAGGGAACCAGAACCAACAGCAAGGAGCCCAGACTGGGACAGGGAACCAGAACCAACAGCAAGGAGCCCAGACTGGGACAGGGAACCAGAACCAACAGTAAGGAGCCCAGACTGGGGCAGGGAACCAGAACCAACAGCAAGGAGCCCAGACTGGGGCAGGGAACCAGAACCAACAGCAAGGAGCCCAGACTGGGGCAGGGAGCCAGAATCAACAGCAAGGAGTCCAGAGAGAGACCAGAACCATTAGCAAGAAGTCCTGACTGGGCCAGTGGATCAGAATCAACAGCAAGAGTCTAGAGCCAGCTACAAGGAGACCAGGGAGAACCCGGACCAGGACCTTTAAGGAGTCCATAAGAGTCAATAAGATAAGAAACAAGAAGTCCAGATACAGACGCAACGTCCAGAACCCTGTTGAGGGTTTCAAGGCAGCAGAACCATCAGACGTTAGTTCACATCCAACAGCAATAGCAAAGTGTCCAGAACCAACAGCAAGGAGTCCACAGAAATACATAGCGCAGAACCTGCAGAACCCAAGACTGCCAGGGAGAAGCTTAGCTGCGGTGATCTTTTGGCAACTGGAACCTCTGTTTGGGCAATCATCTCTATCCTGCCCTCAGTTCACAGACACCACCTACCCTGATCTAAGGAATAAACACTTACCAGCTAAACACATACCTGCCTTCCAGATCAAGGTAAGACTCTGGAGCTGATTCCTAGTCCAATAAGGAGTGAGGGGGCATAGAAAACACCAAGACAGGGCTGGAAGGGGAGTGCATGCATTTACACAGATTTCTGTTTCAATGAAAACATTACACGCACCAAACCTTTCCGGACTGAAGGAGTAGTAAACACAGAGAGGTGACGCCCGGAGGAGGAAGCCATGGGGACATTTCCAGTGATTTCACGGTAGGCTGTGTAGATGTCTCTCTTCCAGGAGACCTCATTGGCGATCCAAAGGTCCAACCAACTCTGAATTTAATGATTACCCTTGAGAACCCGTTAGTGGAGAGGGGGGGTGTCTCTTCCATGGAGTGCCAAATAGACTGCCAAAATAATACCATGCAGAATGGCACTGACCTGGCACAGGGGACCTACCCATACTCCCTTGAGGTGTCTCTTGCCCTCATCTCCCTTGCTGGCATGCTCATGCTTTTCACAGTATTTGGCAATGTCCTAGTGGTTATAGCAGTGTTTACTAGCAGAGCCCTCAAAGCACCCCAAAACCTCTTCCTGGTCTCTCTGGCCTCAGCAGACATTCTGGTGGCCACTCTTGTCATCCCCTTTTCTTTGGCTAACGAAGTTATGGGTTACTGGTACTTTGGGAAGGTATGGTGTGAGATCTACTTGGCCTTAGATGTCCTTTTCTGCACCTCTTCTATAGTACACCTGTGTGCCATCAGCCTGGACAGATTCTGGTCCATTACCCAAGCCATTGAGTACAACTTGAAAAGAACCCCTCGCAGGATAAAATGTATAATTTTCATTGTGTGGGTGATAGCTGCTGTTATCTCCTTCCCACCACTGATCACCATAGAGAAGGAGAGTGGAAAAGAAGAAGACCCCAGGTGTAAAATCAATGATGAGAAGTGGTATATAATCTCCTCTTCCATCGGTTCCTTCTTTGCCCCTTGTGTCATCATGATCCTAGTGTACATCAGAATTTATCAGATTGCTAAAAAAAGGACCAGGGTCCCACCCAGCAAGAGAAGCAATGGGGAACCAGAGAAGAAGCAGAATGGTTGTGAGGATGGTGACCTACCTGTGAAGTTAAATGGAGAGAAGGCTGGTGCCACTGTGGACCACAGGCACAGAGAAGAAGCCAATGGAGTGGACTTAGAAGACTCTTCATCTTCTGACCACCATGATGACCATCAGTATTCTTGCAGGAAAAAAAAAGACAAACACTCAAGAGGGAAAGGGAAGACCAAGCTCAGCCAGATCAAACCAGGGGACAGCTTGCCCATGAGAGAAGAAGACATGAATGCCAAAGGGTCCAAGTGGAGAGGAAGGCAGAACAGGGAGAAAAGGTTCACATTTGTCTTGTCTGTAGTCATTGGGGTGTTTGTCATCTGCTGGTTCCCTTTCTTTTTTACATACACCCTCTCTGCTATATGTACGAGCTGTTCACCCCCTGATACTTTGTTCAAATTTTTCTTCTGGTTTGGATACTGTAACAGCTCTTTGAACCCGGTGATATACACCATATTTAACCAGGATTTCAGGAGATCATTTAAAAAGATTTTATGTAGAGGGGAGAGGAGAAGGATTGTGTGACGCCCCCATCATCCCACCATCCCTTTGACATTTTGTAAAATTGATTTCTGGGGGAGCTCCAGACTTTTAGATTCGAAGATAAAAAGAAGCACCCAGTGGGCTATTTTTGTAAAAGCTGCACCCCACAAGCACTTTTTGGAGGGGGGAGGGGGAGGGGGGATTGGCAGTGCTGGGGGAAGAACATTTGGACCATGTAAATGTATTTATTGTACCATGCAGTAAGACCAATATTCATAATATGATCCTCCTATATTCAGTTTATAAACAAGTCACTATTAACCCTGTATGTACCAGGTGTCTGAGAAAAGCATTTCACACTCTCTGACACTCAAAGGAGTTAAAACAAATATAAATGCTATTTTATTACTGAAGCAAAATTCTCTACCAGTTCTGGCAAGCATCTCATGATCATTAATATATTTTTCTATATATTTCTTAGAGCAAGTCCTTTATTGTTTTAATAATATTGTCATTTTATTGTAGTGTTTGCAACTTATAAGCATCACAAATCACTTTGGGGTATTTTCACTAAACAGTGAATTTTACTGAAACGCTAATTTGCAAATGTTCAGTCTGAAGTATTCAAGCTGGGATTATGTGTAAATTGGAATATGCTATATTGTGGGCCAAAACAGCTGATTTCAAAGAATTCTCTATTTTTAATTCACTGTAATTCACTGCTTAGGATATAGATCACAATGTGTTTGCTCTTCCTTCAAGGTTCTACATACATTTTTATTTTATTTTTTTTCATTTTGAAAGTAGATATCCTTTTCTCCATACAAGCATAGTGTTTACTGATAGTGGTTTTAACCCTTCGAGTGCCAGTGTGCTCCCTGCACAATAACAAGCAGTGCACAAAGAGTTAACATGTTTCTTTGTCACTTAGTGATTAAGAGAAGGCCTGGTGAAACATTGCCTGGCAGGAACTTTTTGGGCATGTAATGGGCAGACTTAGTTGCAGTGGCTTCCAGCACTGAACAGGTTAATAAAAATGATGCAAAACAGCAGCAGGGATTTCAGTTGAGATAGTAAAAAGTGCACATTAAACAGCAAAACAACACAGTGCCCACCCCTAGGCTTGCCATGGGGGTCTGCAATGCAAAGAGGGGCTCAGGTGGCAACTAAACATTAGCCCTATGAGTGTTTTGCAATGTGTTGGGCACGCCTCTGGCACTCGAGGGGTTAACTCAGGTTTACAAAATGTTTCTCTAACCATTTCCAGTATTAAATGCAGAGCTATATGTTGCACTAAAAGGGCCACATGCTGTAAGGGACCCTCACACAACCATAAGCATCCCAAAACCAATTTGGATTGCAGCTTCCTTGAGATTAAGTATCCACAGGATCGCCCAGGGCTTAACCCTTTGAGGACCAGTGTAGTGAAGGACTTGTGCCATGGCAACTTCCAGACCTCAAAGTGTTAACAGAACCAAGAAAGATCAAAAATATTTTATATCCCCTTGAAAACATCAAATCTGGGCAGACATCAAATTGATTATTTTGCTCCCAGACACACTATTGCTTAACTCTTTAATTGCCACAGCGACACATCATTGTAACCTCTTCAGAGCTTTGCATGCATAACATAATGATTTACAATATATTATGGTTATGAGTTCTCACTGTTTAACCTTAGGGATGTTTATAAACATCCAAGTAACCAAAATTGGTGCCTCTACAGAGTTTGTACTGATGGAATATTTGAAATTGTTATTATTATTTTTATTTTTGCTCAGTGCACGAAGGCAACATTTATATGAATGGGTTGCTTAGTAACTCTAATATATACTGTCTCCTTGGGCTCTTTCAGTATATTAACCCTTTAATAGGCCATCACAAAGATTCTGCACTGATATGGGTTATTCTCTAAACCAGGTATAGGCAACCTTTGGCACTCCAGATGTTGTGGACTACATCCCCCATAATGCTCTTATATCCATAATGCTGTCAAAGCATCATGGGAGGTGTAGTCCAAAACATCTAGAGTGCCTAAGGTTGCCTATGCCTGCAACCAAGAACAATAGAACTGCAAATGTTACAGGGAACAAATTGTAGGTAAACAAACAGATTGAAAAACATATTGCAATCTCTCTGTTTGTTGTGTCAATCCATTGTCATTTCACAACCATTCTTAGTTTACTGTGTAATTCTCTGTAATTGTGGTGAGCAAAATGTTTTAATTCTGGTCGTCAAAGAAATCCCAACTGTTCAAGAATTAGAAGCCACCTGTGTTCAAGCAGGGAGTTCTGCTATGATTTGCTTGTTATCATCCATTAGGGATGCTCAGTTATCATCCAATCAGAGTAGAATAGAGACGAGTGGATTTGGATTTTGGGTGTTTTACCAATTCACTCTAAGAATCTGCCCACAAGAATCTGACTCTTAACCTCAGTTCCTGGGATGCGAGCCAAAGCCATAGGATGTAGGGTCAAAACCTCCTATTGTTTATAAAAATACTAAGATACAGAAAGCAAAGGGTTACCCTCACCCCGTTACATATACCATACTGAACTGCCAGCAAATCTCGAGAATCTACAATCTCACCGGAAAAGGGGATATGGGATACAGAAAGCAGTACAAGGCGTGGTATGAACTGTGATATGTTAGATATGTCAGATATATTGCTAAACAGGACAATCCGTATTAATATTTTATTTTTTTTTTAAAAGAGGAAAGATAGCCATTGTGTTACATCTTTGGAAATCACCAAACAAATAATATAAATAAAAATAAAAGCACGAAAAAAAATTACACTTGTTAAAATGGGCCATTCATTCCGCTGTGCTCCTCTTTATTACACTACAGAACAATGTACATTTAATCTGATCCCCCATGGGTGCTGCGCGGTACCTTACAGATGCCCTGGCACGTAAATGGCTACATGATAAATAAGCTGGTGTCTGTATGCATGTTACAGGCCGAACAGCTCGCACGGACTGTTTTGCATGCCGTTGTATGTTTACCGTCGAAGCTCTGCCCTGATTTCCAGTGGAGGCAGGGCTGGGCAAGTGGTGGGCAAACACGACACCCAGCTTACATCGGCATCAACCCGTGTTTGGTTGCCCATATCGTGAGTGGGTTTTCATAGTAAAATCATGACGTTAACACATTCAAGGATGCACGGCAGACTAAGACACAGAACACGTGCCGTGGGTTGTAGTTTCTTGGCTTGCTTAACCTTTTGATTGCCAGAGATGTGCCCCAAACATTGTAAAACAATGGATTGGACTATTCACACTGCGGAACTCACGGGGCTCTGAGACTGGGTGACTGACCGTGGAAAAACCTGCCTTACTGATGTTTCATTTAGACAATTAATAATGTCAGATTGGTAAATGCCATTAGCCTGTCTCTCACTTTATATTGATTGTGCTTTCCTGTATTGATTTCCTACCTGTCATTTACCAAGAGCCCCAACATGTTATATAATATCACCCATCCAATGCCCAATAAGGTCTCAAATTAGAGTATTTTAGACTTTCATTTTGCTTTGCTGTGAATGGTTTAAATCCATTACCACAAACTGAATGAGAGCTAGCTCTGGCAGGGAAAGTGTTAAATGCTACTTACTGCATTTTATGTTAAAATTAAAAATGTTAAATATTGCTTTTTATACAAATAGACGCACAATTTAGTAGTAGTTAAAGGGACAATATAGTCACCTGAACAACTTTAGCTTAATGAAGCAGTTTTGGTGTATAGAACATTCCCCTGCAGCCTCACTGCTCAATTCTCTGCCATTTAAATCCCTTTGTTTATGAACCCTAGTCCCACCTCCCTGCATGTGACTTGCACAGCCTTCCATAAACACTTCCTGTACAGCCATCTAAAGTTTATCCTTCCTTTATTACACAGTGTGTTTAATTTGTAATTTCTTATATCCTGCTCTCTTAATAGCCTTCTAGAGCCTGCAGGAGCCTCCTGTGTGTGATTAAAGTTCATTTTACAGAGTATAATGATAACTTTACACTAAAACTGCTTAATTAAGATACAGTTGTCTTGATGCCTATAGTACCCACAATGAAACACCTTTGGAGTAATTAAATCAACAGGTTAGGGTATAAAAATGGTTAAAACATCACTTTTCAAACTGTATTTATTGGTCTTGAAAAGGCTGCCAAGTGTGTCTCTCAAATGAGTTCAGCAAAAAAAAATTAAAAAAAAATACATATCTGTTACAAAAATAAGTTAACGTTATGGGTACCAGAGTTGTGAAAATTGCATTGATTCTTTATTTGTACCTTAAGGGTTAATACTCTATATTGTTTGAGCACTGGGACCTGGCAGGAAGGTTTATGGCTTAGTTCACTTAGTGGCATTAAAAGGATATAATGTAACAGGCATGAAACTGTTTGTCTGCTGATCTACCTCATGATTAACCCCTCCACTGCAAGAACAGATTGCTAATCTGGATATTATTCAATCCATTCAACCCATGATTTATTAAGCAGGGGTTACAGATTACAGGAAAAGAACAAAAACAAATCTTATTTCATTTTCCCCCTCATTATGCTGAACAATTGTTTCTTAATAAAATAAGCAGATTTGATGGACTGTGTTTGGGTGGACTATGTGATTATGTTTTCTTAAGAGAAATGTTATTGTTATTTTTAACATGTACATCAACAGAGCACCATCTCCTAACATTCCCACTATATCCATCTCCGATACAGCACCCAACATCTACACAGCACCCAAAATCCACACCATACCCATCTCCGACACAGCGCCCAACATCTACACAGCACCCAAACTCCCCACAGCACCCAAAATCCACACTATATCCATCTCCGACACAGCACCCAACATCCACACAGCACCCAAAATCCACACCATACCCATCTCCGACACAGCACCCAACATCTACACAGCACCCAAAATTCACACTATACCTATCTCCGACACAGCACCCAACAGCTACACAGCACCCAAAATCCACACCATACCCATCTCCGACACAGCACCCAACATCTACACAGCACCCAAAATCCACACCATACCCATCTCCGACACAGCACCCAACATCTACACAGCTCCCAAAATCCACACTATACCCATCTCTGACACAGCACCCAACATCTACACAGCACCCAAAATCCACACTATATCCATCTCCGACGCAGCACCCAACATCCACACAGCACCCAAACTCCACACAGCACCCAACATCTACACAGCACCCAACATCCACACTGTAACCATCTCCGACACAGCAGCCAACATCTACACAGCACCCAAAATCCACACCATACCCATCTCCGACAAAGCACCCATAATAAACACAGCACCCAGCATCAAGCACCCATCTCCAACACAGCACCCAAGATCCACACTATACCCATCTCAAACACAGCACCATACATCCAACTATATCCATCTCCAACACAGCACCCAACATCCAACTATATCCATCTCCAACACAGCACCATACATCCAACTATATCCATCTCCAACACAGCACCCAACATCCAACTATATCCATCTCCAACACAGCACCATACATCCAACTATATCCATCTCCAACACAGCACCCAACATCCAACTATATCCATCTCCAACACAGCACCCAACATCCAACTATATCCATCTCCAACACAGCACCATACATCCAACTATATCCATCTCCAACACAGCACCATACATCCAACTATATCCATCTCCAACACAGCACCATACATCCAACTATATCCATCTCCAACACAGCACCCAACATCCAACTATATCCATCTCCAACACAGCACCCAACATCCAACTATATCCATCTCCAACACAGCACCATACATCCAACTATATCCATCTCCAACACTGCACCCAACATCCAACTATATCCATCTCCAACACAGCACCCAACATCCAACTATATCCATCTCCAACACAGCACCATACATCCAACTATATCCATCTCCAACACTGCACCCAACATCCAACTATATCCATCTCCAACACAGCACCCAACATCCAACTATATCCATCTCCAACACAGCACCATACATCCAACTATATCTATCTCCAACACAGCACCATACATCCAACTATATCCATCTCCAACAGAGCACCCAACATCCAACTATATCCATCTCCAACACAGCACCATACATCCAACTATATCCATCTCCAACACAGCACCATACATCCAACTATATCCATCTCCAACACAGCACCATACATCCAACTATACCCATCTCCAACACAGAACCACACATCCAACTATATCCATCCCCCACACAGCGCCCACCATACAACTATATCCATCTCCAACACAGAACCACACATCCAACTATATCCATCTCCAACACAGAACCACACATCTAACTATATCCATCTCCAACACAGCACCCACCATCCAACTACATTCATCCCCCACACAGCACCCACCATCCACACTATACCCATCTCAAACACAGCACCCACCATCCAACTATATCCATCTCCAACACAGCACCATACATCCACACAGCACCCAAAATCCACACTATATCCATCTCTGACACAGCACCCAACATCAACACTATACCCATCTCTAACACAGCACCCAAAATCCACACTATACCCATCTCTAACACAGCACCCAAGGTCCGTACTATACCCATTATCCACATGGCACTTCCATGACGACACCCATTGTCAGGTACCCACTAACTGATACCCACACAGCAGCCTTACAGTGTCACTCCACTCACCATACAAAACCATTTACCCTTACCTAACAAGAACTCAGTACCCATCACCAGTCACCACCCATTTAGCACCCTTTTTCCAAACAGCACCTATCGCCGATTACTTACGCCCATTTAGCGCCCACCTTCCACATAATACCCACGATCCTGCAATATTTCAGTATATAGATTTCAGCATCCGTTCTTTTTAACAGTGAATCCAGACATCACATGATGCGCTTAGCATGACACAAGAAGAACACCAACAAGACAAGATCTTTGGCATCTAGCCCGAGCTTCAGGAAATCGGATTATCATTGTCTAGATGTCAGGGGACGAAGAAAAGGTTTCCCTGTCGTCTAATACATCTTGAAATATTGGTTATTGTAAATGAAATGGAGCAAAAATCCCTTCCCGTGGCTGGCTTCGATGTACATGATGGTTAACAGAAACCAGAGCCGAATTAACAAATAGCAGTCTGCTGCTCCAGGGATTCCTGGCCTCTAGCCCTCCATGAGCATGCAGGGAGTTGTAGTCCAAATCAGCTGGAGAGACCGCCATACTAATATCTAGGGCTAGGCATTTATTGTTCCAGCCACATCCGGCTGAGAGTGATAGCCAGTTCAGTGTGGAAATTCTGCATTGCAAGAAATAGAATTGATTACTTAAAGAATGAACTGTGGTCAATTAAAAACATTTTATTTGGCCTAAATGTTGCAATTGAGTTTTTAATTGGCAAAAATTCACTGTTTAATTAATAAATCCTTCATTTTTTTATTTTTTTATTCACTAGACACCAAATCATACTGAAGTGAAATCTGTACTATAGCTGATTTTACCAAATCAGCACTTTTTGCCTAAATTTTCCAATTTGGTGTTCAATTCACCTCAGTTCTGTGTGTCCTCTTTTTTTTTTTTTAATTTTCTGATAAAAACAGAAAGATTTCAATGAATGTCACTTCCATGGGTTTTTCACCAAACAGTGAGATAATCTTTCTTCTGAGCACACAATTAAGTAGATAAACCCCTGCTAGTACGTATTAAAACAAAGTAGATAAAAACCATTATGAATTAGTAAGAACCTTGGGCAAGACTCGGTCTGTAATACCTTATAATTACCCAACCCTTTCATTTTATGTTTTGATTTTAAATTGCCCTGTGCCATACCCATTATGATATATTTAGTTATCTATTTTTGTCTAACATGTGACTCCGATCAGGATGTTTTTTAAAGATAATTATCTCTATTGTTTGAATATTTTAAATGCACCTATTTCTGCATGATATCCATGATCTGTTATCACACTACATGCTCTGTATGTAAATTTCACTACGCCTCCCTCGTTATCTGTACTACAACGCATAGTACAAAACAATATGATTTATTAAGAAATCTAAGTGATAAGATAATGCGATGATTTGTTTAGCATTATGCCGTTTGATTGCGTAGTTTTATGATTTATTTATATTGTTATACAATTTGACTGCGTACTCAGATGATTTATTTGAACTATCGCATGAGACGATAGAGCATTTAAAATGTGTATTTGAAATACTTCAGGCTGATAGTTTTATAATTTATTTAAAGGGACACTATAGTCACCAGAACAACTACAGCTTATTGAATTTGTTCTGGTGAGTAGAATCATTACCTTCAGGCTTTTTGCTGTAAACACTGTCTTTTCAGAGAAAATGCAGTGTTTACATTAACGCCTAGTGATAACTTCACTGGCCACTCCTTAGTTGGCTGTTAGAGATCCTTCCTGGGTCATGGCTGCCTAAAATGCATCCAAACATTCAGTGTCTCCTCCCTCTGCATGCAGACACTGAACTTTCCTCATAGGGATTCATTGATTCAATTCATCTCTATGAGGAGATGCTGATTGGCCAGGGCTGTGTTTGAATTGTGCTGACTTTGCCCCTGATCTGCCTCCTTGTCAGTCTCAGCCAATCTTATGGGGAAGCATTGTGATTGGATCAGGCCACCACTTCTGCTGATGTCAGCAGCCAATGGGCAGGTCTAAAGGAAAAAGGGACTTGAATACAAGAGAAACTGCTATGTTTATATTTGGGGTTAAGCCAGCCTCTAGTGGCTGTCTTCCGGACAGCCACTAGTGGCGCATCTGCCACGCTGGAGGCATATTATCACTTAGTGATAGTAGCTCATATTTTAAACACTATGGGCGCTTGGCACAACAAGGCAAGTGTTGAACAATGCTTGGGGACTAGAGCACCATAATCACCGTGCAGTAGAGGTTATGATGTGCAGATATTCTCTTTAAGATACGTTTTTCAAAAACACGGTAATTAGGCTTTTCCCATTGTTAGATGGATATTCTTTGCATTGAGGAAAGCAGTATCACTATAGTAAAACTCTTTGTAACGGACCGTTTTGCCCACAAGAGGTTAAAAACCGTTTAGGCGATATTCCCCTTTTTCAGATGCACAGACAGCTACTGCAAACCCACGAATTCACCAACTCCCGAACTGCAACCAAGGGAATACTCGAAACTCCCGAACTGCATATCAAGTAGTGTTCCAAACTCCCGAACTAGAGACACATGAATAGCTGTTAGCAGACGAACAGGAAAAGCCCCCAAGCGGCTTACACTCCTGGCAGTCAGTCTCTAACAGCATACAGTAAATCCCCCCAAAGACGAGATGACACTTCGGTTTGAGGGTCAAGCAGAATCTGGTTTACTGGGGCTAACTGCCTGGCTTTTATGCAGGTCTCCCACCTGGTGGACACTCCCCTAGGGGACCAAATGGGAAACTGGGAAACATATTGGCTCTTAGCCAATCACAGACATACACCTTTAACACTCCCACAATTACATCACAATCCCTCCTCTCTGTCCTGGAGATAAATGGGGAAGTAATCCACTTATCTCCCAGGACAGAGGCAAAACTCCATTAACCTCATGGCAGTAACAATACAGTAAAAGACATAAAATTACATACAGTCACATTTATTACCTAAAACATATACATTCTACATATCCCCAGATAGCTTAGATCTGAGCGCACATTACTACCGAATGGCGCTCAGATCACATACATACAGTTCAATCGCCATGGAGCCAAAGTCTTTCCCATAGTCTTTCGTTACACGAATAGGCTCCATGGCTTAGCTATCTGGGGGATGCTGTTCATCTGGCGAAACTACCGAATGAACAGTCATTCGGTTCTGCTTACCGAATGGGAAGGTAAGGAGGTTGGCGGCTCAGCGGTGTTCGCGCCAATAAGTGTCCGTTTTCAGTTCCATAGTTTGGGCGCTGAACACCGCTGGCCGTTCGGGAGGTAAAATGGCCGTTGCCACATGTTCGGCAGACGAACAAAGGCCACCCAGCGTTCATCAATTAAGCTGCGGTTAACCGCAGCTTCTGGGTGGTCAATTGACGGCACACTCCAGCTCCCAGGTGGTCCATCGTTCGGTAGTTTGTTCAGTAGATGGAATCTACCGCACACCCTGGCAGAAAGGCACGAATAAACCTTTCAGCAGGGAGAATAACAGCTCTGAACTGCAGGGCCATAATCTAAAGGGAGCAGGCGAGCAACCAGGCTTCTCCAGTGCACAGTGGCGAGGTTGGTTCCGCCACACTCTTATTGTGGGCAGTTGCTGGGACCTGATGAACAGGAACATTCCAAGAACTGGGGACTCACTGATATGGTATGCAGACACAAATTTGTGTCCCGAACCAGATTTTAAGAACCATGGGTCGATGGGCACGGCATTTATTGCAGCAACGTATAATCGTCATGGACACCTTTTACACCCGCCAAGCGCAGCACCCGAACAGTACATCAGGCAATTGCCTTGTCCATTTCTAGTACAGATAATCCCACCAGCATCCAGAGCAATGGTTAAATGGTAATTTCTCAGAGCAAGATTGCTATGAAAACACGTATGGGGTCTTAGTCAGCAGTTGAATCTGCTTTGACCAAATACCCGAAATGTTAAGAAAAATAATATACATTTTTTTTGTATCTGCAGCAAAAACAGAGGCGTGAAAGGTTAAACTCAATGGATTTCCGTAAAAATATAAACTGAAATAAGATGCAAAAAATTTAGATATATATCTTCGCTCTGAGCTAACAGAATGACTGGGAAGCAGGACATAAGGAGCAAGATAAGCCGCTTCTTAGTAAACTCTAGATGTATTTAAAAATATAGCTGCGCAGAGCGCAGTCTGGGACCACAGATACAAAATACTTAATCTATCACATGCAGAATGAGAGACATCTTCCTGTCTCCTCTCACTGACAGTATATCTTTTTAAATTGGGTCTTGCTGTTTGCAATCTTTTTACCATATGTCTTTTTGTGCCTTGAATAGTCATGGTTTAACCCCCCCTTGGTCCTAACTTCCCCTACCCTCCCCCCAAAAAAGTGTGATGGATAAATACACAATCTATCTGTTTATTTACTAATATTATTGTATATCAAACTAACCCAATGTGGTTCACATTAATTGATAATATTAATACAGTCAATAATATACCCACTGATTATTTAGTTATGAAATGGTACCCAAAAGATTTGTCGGAAATTGTGAGGTCAGTGAGGTGGCATGATAGGTTGAGAGAAGTACAGTGAGTGGGAATTAAAGATAACCTATAGTCCTACAATTTACAATGTGGACTATAGACGTCAGAAAGAACTGCAGATTTACATAAAAGGGTTTAAAGTACAGGACAACTGGACCCAAACCACTTTATTGAGATGAAGTGGTCTTGGTGATTTTACTGGTCTTTTAAGGAGGAGGTACAAATAGGGGTAGGCAAAGGAGCTAGAATGATGGGAATACACAGTGTAATAAGTGGAGGAGATGGAAAAATCCTGAGAGCAGGAATAATGGGACGAGGCGATCAGATGAGGTGGAATAATGGTTGCATGCAGTAATGTCCATTGAGCTGGAATGATAGGAATACTATTGTCTGATGAGGTGGCAGAATCAGAGTGAGGACAGATACGTTGGACTGAGAAGGACTGCTGAGTAAGACATCAATCTTAGTAAGAAAGAGGCCACCATTATTGGTGGCTCGCTGTTGACTGTAGCGGCTTACCAATTCTGAAAATAGACCTGCTTCTATGACTTTAGAAAACAAGACTTACATTTTATCTTTTCACGCCTACAGCCGGGATAGTGTAGATGCATCCGCAGGTGGAAGGAATATGCGTTGGTTGTACTGCATCTTAAAAACAATTTGTCTTCAGACTTCACAATGAGATCTAGGTATCAGCCAAAGTCTTTAATCTTTTACCCACTGGACATAGATGAATAGAAAGACCCTAAAGGATAGTCAGAGAGAGAAAACCAAGTAGACAAAAAAATAGATGAATTTGCCAACCTTCTCCTAAAATCCCGAGTTTTTTATTATCAGTATCAGCTTCTTCCCCAAAGACTGGATCGGTCACCATAGTAGGGGGCTAATTAGGTGTAGGTCTCTTCGGAACCTTCTTCTAACCATAGTTTAACAGCTGATGTCCACCACTTCTCCTTCTCCTCATTTGAATCTGTAGTGGTTAATATTACTGAGTTTTAAGTTTAAACCTTTGATTCAGCATTTACAGATGAAAATGAAGGAAAGGAACCTCAGTTAGGAAAAAGGACAAACGAGCCATTTATTACATGTGAGTTTACAGAGGAAGAGGTTTTATTTCAACTGTCAAAAGTAAAGACAAATAAGTCAATGGGACCAGATGGAATACACCCAAAGTTATTAAAAGAGCTTAGTGGTGTACTAGCAAAACCATTAACAGATTTATTTAACCAATCATTGTTAACAGGAGTAGTCCCAGAAGATTGGAAGTTAGCGAATGTTGTGCCCATCCACAAGAAAGGTATTAGGGAGGAGTCGGGCAACTATAGGCCAGTAAGCCTTACTTCAGTAGTGGGGAAGTAATGGAAACCATGTTAAAGGATAGGATTGTTGAACATCTAAAAACACATGGATTTCAAGATCAGAGACGACATGGGTTTATTTCAGGGAGATCATGCCAAACTAATCTTATTGATTTTTTTGATTGGGTAACTAAAATAATAGATCAGGGTGGTGCAGTAGATATTGCTTACCTAGATTTCAGTAAGGTTTTTGACACTGTTGCACATAGAAGGCTTATCAATAAACTGCAATCTTTAAGTTTGGATTCCAATATTGTTGAATGGGTAAGGCAGTGGCTGAGTGACAGGTAACAGAGGGTTGTAGTTAATGGAATATATTCGAAGCTTGGACTTGTCACCAGTGGGGTACCTCAGGGATCTGTACTTGGACCCATTCTCTTTAATATTTTATTAGTGATATTGCAGAAGGTCTTGATGGTAAGGTATGTCTTTTTGCTGATGATACTAAGATATGTAACAGGGTTGACATTCCAGGAGGGATAAGCCAAATGGCAAATTATTTAGGTAAACTAGAAAAATGGTTAGAGTTGTGGCAATTGACATTTAATGTGGATAAGTGCAAGATAATGCATCTTTGACGTAAAAACCCCACGGCAGAGTACAGAATATTTGATAGAGTTCTAACCTCAACATCTGAGGAAAGGGATTTAGAGGTGATTATTTCCAATGACTTAAAGATAGGCAGACAATGTAATAGAGCAGCAGGAAATGCTAGCAGAATGCTTGGTTTTATAGGGAGAGGAATTAGCAGTAGAAAGAGGGAAGTACTCATGCCATTGTACAGAACACTGGTGAGACCTCACTTGGAGTATTGTACACAGTACTGGAGACCGTATCTTCAGAAGGATATTGATGCCTTAGAGAGAGTTCAGAGAAGGGCTACTAAACTGGTTCATGGATTGCAGGATAAAACGTACCAGGAAAGGTTAAAGGATCTTAACATGTATAGCTTGGAGGAAAGACGAGACGGGGGATATGATAGAAACATTTAAATACATAAAGGGAATCAACACAATAAAGGAGCAGACCATATTTAAAAGAAGAAAAGCTACCACAACAAGAGGACATAGTCTTAAATTAGAGGGGTTTAAAAATAATATCAGGAAGTATTACTTTACTCAGAGGGTAGTGGATGCATGGAATAGCCTTCCAGGGAAGTGGTAGAGGTTAACACAGTAAAGGAGTTTAAGCATGCATGGGATAGGCATAAGGCTATCCTAACTATAAGATAAGACTAGCGACTAATGAAAGTATTTAGAAAATTGGGCAGACTAGATGGGCCGAATGGTTCTTATCTGCCTGCACATTCTATGATTCTGCTACTGAAATTATTTTATACAAATTGTGAAAAAAAATAGCTAAAATTGATGTTTTTTGCTACTTGGCTATTTTGGTTCTAATTACTTATTTCACTTGTTAATTGACTGCAATTCACTGTTTAGTGAAAGACGTCCTGGTTCTGCTCTATGCTACAAATGGAACGGTCAGAATATAAAAACTTCGCACAATGTCTATTTTTGTGCTTATTTTGTTTAGAACCTCTTCATAGATTATAGACGCTACATAGAGACACATTGGCAAAACACATTTTCTTTTTAACAAGGTTTTTTTTTTTTTGTAGGTTAATGTGCCATTCTGAGGTCCATAACTTTTAACGTAACATCCTGGACTGATATCGCCATGACAGTTTAGAACCTCATCAAGTTGGTCTTGGATCAGGTTTAAGGAGTCTCCAATAAAGTGCTTTATAGGCACACACTCTGCATGCACTAAATACGCCTTCTGGATATCAATAACTGCTCTGGGTTTTCTCTGAACACATTAACCCCTGTAATGTAGTTTCCTAAGCACGCGACGCAGGGCTGGAGGGAATCACAGGAGGAAAGATGAAAAAAGGTCTCTAGCTTAAAACAGGACTCGTGTTTTGTCTTTTTAATGGCCCCAAGGCAAATCTGACAGCAAATGAGTTCAAGAAAGGGCAGGTTTCCCATCACACAATCTGTTATTTATAATAGACAAGCAATAAACAACAGGTGCACAAACTGTGCGCTTATTTCCAAAAACATACTGGCTATCCTGATTGTGTGGCAGCAGCTGAACAGATTTCCTAATACGACAGATTGCTAGCAGCAATACAGAATCTAGAACTACCTGGATCCTAGCTCGAATTCTGCTGAATGAACAACTACGTTGCAAAATATAGGTTTAAATACAGGAAAATGAAGAAAAAAAACCTTTGCTATTTTGGCCCAGCAAATTAAAGCTGGTTATCATTTTAATAAATACACTTCTAGATTTGTATTGTGTGATAGTATTGAATTTTGATGGTTCCGAATCTGCAATTCTGCTTTCTACAGAAAAGAAAAAACTTAGCTTTGATGGGACCAGGGGCATTAGTAGTTTGCCCAAGGCTGAATTTCATGGTCCCTTTCGGTATATATTGGCCTTTGCCCATCCTAAATTCAATATTGAAATTCACTTTGAATTCATGACAATTCTTATTTCAATCTGTATTACAGGAGACTCAGGGCTAACAATGAAATAGTACCAAAATTAGACATGAGCTTTTTTAGTAGCCCACTTTGGGCTGCCACCCCTGTTAGCCCACCCCTAACAGTAGAACAGAAGAATAGGTGTAGCCCTTGTGTTTTCCGTAGTAAGTATATGTAATAACAAGAAGATAAATAAAGCAACTAATGGTGAAGTATGTCAGAGTATGCTGTTGAGGAATGAAAAGTAGTTAGAAGTGCACACTTTTTTGGAGCTGTAATCCAGCTCCAGTTCCTACTTAAGCATTGAAGTGGTATGATCCCCACCTAAGGATGTAGTAGGGCTTCCGTGCAGTTGAGGGTCATTTGTAGAACAGAGTGGTATGATCCGCACTCTAGCTTATGTAGGTGGTGCAGATCCTCTCCATATATGTAGAAAAGAGAATAAAAAACAATAGTGCACACTGTCAAATTAGGTGTGCACTATTGTGTTTTATTCTTTTTTCTTACTTTTAGGGAGAGAATCTGCACCACCTACATAGCCCAGCATGGGGATCATTCCACTCAATGTTAGATTTGAGGAGCCACCGTTCAGGCTCTCAGATATGTGAGCGGACTTTTTTACCCACTTACTTCTGAAAGTTTAAACTCAAATGTTCAGCAGTATTTTATTATATTCTGCTCTCCGTTTATATATCTACGAGACCCTCTACTAACAAAAGGACCCTTAACTAAACAGAGGCCACACATACTCAACAATGATATATATGAAAATATAAATATAATCTATATAAGCTCCAGAATAAGACACTTTAAAAGAAGGATGAATACCACCTGATACACAGACAAGGACTTAGTCACGTAGCAATATACAACTGTATAAAGACAAAAAAAAACTGCATATGGTGTTATAACATTAAGGAGTCATGGAGGGTGAAAGGGAGGGGGATGAGAGCACTCACAACATGTCTGAATAAACAGGATTGTCTCACCAGCAAGGGGTATAAGACCATGTAGATAGATCCTCCGTATAATGAGCAGTTCTATGTAGTTACTGTCAAGGTCCATAGTCTTTCAGGAACTGATGATGTTGAAAACAGGACCACCAAAGGACTAGCTAAAAATAAAAATTATTTATTGGACAAAAAGGTTAAAACAACAAGTGGAATTAAAAAGTCCCAACAATGTAAATCCAACGCGTTTCCCCCGAAGACGACCTACAGGGATCGACGAAAAACGCATTGGATTTACATCATTGGGACTTTTTAACATCACATGGCCCAGGCATTTTAGGCTGTGTGAACTACAGTTTGATGTTAAGGGAATAAGTCCTGTTGTGTATGCATGACATATATATGTTATGTTTCAGTGGGATGCTATCGCGGTGTGAAAACATTTGCCCAACAGTTAGTAATAGGGCAACATTTTTAACCCAGAGAAATGAAAAAGGACTAAATGCGATGGCAAAAAGAGCGTGGGCGACAAGGAGTTAACCAGCAGGTGAAAAGAATATTTTTCACCCATCGTTAACCCCTATTTCCAGATTGTCTCCTTTACAGGATGTTCTTAAAGTCTCTGCTGGGACCTTACTGGATTTCACTAGCGAGTTGAAAGAGAAAGCGCTAGCTCTTGTGAACTGACAGGAAACTAAAATCTTTCAACAAACACTTGTCTTGTATTGTTTCTTGCAAGGCCACGGGGCTTTTGTGACACAAAATAACTCACATGATGAAAAATGCATCCTTGACAAACCTTTGCATCTCTCTGTGGGGTTTGTGGACAGAACAATCAAAACGTGGGAATCTAAAACTCGAATTTGCTAAATTTAGACCCGAATAGCTAAACTAGGGATTTTATTCTCAAATTGGTTACACAGACTAATCAGGTTTTCAGCTCACCACAAAACTCGCCACAAATCAAGGGTTGTCAAATCTCTATATTGATGTTTACATAATGACGAATTGTATGCAGAAAAAAGCCTGATTTGTTTAGATCTGTTTATCAGACGTTGATGCAGGGCTGCACCAGGGACACGCGTACCTTGGTATTCAAACTTTGCGTTTTGAGAAATTGCTGACTGCCTTTGTGTCTCATGTGTTAGTAAACAGTTCACATTACCAACGTAAAACCACTCAAAAACAAAAAAAGTCAGTTTACATTTTTATTCCAACATTTGCCGTTTTATGACCAATTTTTGCTAGTTTGGAGCATTTTTTGTTTGTGTATTTCACAAATGTTGCATTGTAGCTTTAAATTCTGTGCAACAAATCCAGAATGATCCAAAATGATGTTCAACTACATCCCTTGACAATAATAATTTGTGCCAATATAGCTTTCTTAGATGTTTTCGAATACCAGCAGACTCAAATCTGTAGTCTGTAGCTTGAAGTTAGTTTCATAAAAGTAAACATTAAAGAAATGGACACTGCAGGGAATTTCACTAGAGCCATCTTTCCTTTTTTAAAATTTTAATTTTTTTTATTGATTTCTAAAACGTCAAAAGGGGTACAGAAAGCAAAAAGGACGGTAAACAAGAACACAAACGAGGGAAGGTTCAACAGATTTGGTAAAAAGACGTTCATTAGGACCAGTACATATATTGTAATGGGAATATTTAAAAAAAGACGAGAAATTAATCTCTTCTTCCAAATTATTAAATATAAATTAAATGATAAACGTAAGTGTTATGAGGCTGTCCTTAACATAGGTAAATATTTAGGTGTGGACCTTAGAACATATATGACAATAAATCTGGCAGGGTTATTTACTAAAGAGATAGTTGTCATGATTTCAAAGTTAAGTTAAAATTTAAGGCCAAAGCAAGTTAACTGTAAGCAAAAATGACTTGGAGAATCTTTCCAGTTCGGCTACTTAGGTCTTAAATCTACCTTATACTCTCTTTGAATTCCCGACAATTTTCCCGGTAATAAATACCGTACGCTAAAATATGAATGCAATTGTAAAACATGGAGAGCAGCCGACAGGGCTCACCAAGAGTCGGTGGCATTATGAATTAGCAGCTCTCCATTCCCTCCATACGTAATTAAATGTGTTTATGTTTTCACTGGGGGTATATTTACTAAATAGCTATTTTTACATTTGGGCAGCAGGCATCATTTTAAAGGAAGTGATTTAATAAACTGGTCTACTTCAGCTTCATGGAAAGGTTGGTAGATAGCATCTCAGTCAAAGGGGAAATGTAGGTGTATGGAATGTCTCCTGATATAACATGATGCAGTCTTGCTCAGGTTAAGGGATGGGGGGGATCTTGGAGATCTTGTAGTAGATGACAAATTTGACACTAATTGCTACTGGATGTGTCAATGTTTGTTTCAAGCTGTCTAAAATATATTCAAGTTTAGTGTTGGAAATAATTATGAGTAAATGGGAATCTAATAAAGAAGTGGCTTGTTATCTAATGGATAAATATTTGTGGTTCAATTTTGTTGTAAGGTATTTGGCTTTGGTGATAACAAACTGAGTTCATGGCAGAGGTTCTTATTCTCTGCACATTTAGGTCGTTGGTGTATCTGGTGTATCCAGTATTCCACGTCATCTTTGGGATTTCGATACTGTTGGATTTGGAGCAATGCTGAGACTTCCGATAACTGTATGATAGGTAAGACTGAAATAATAATTTTGTGAAGTCTGATATCCATAAAAAGCCTGGTCTATCCTGTTGCAGCAAGATTGGCTTAAATAGCACTTTTGGCAAAGAACAAAGAGTGTGCTTCATTTTCTACTAAGTGCATAAGGTCAATGCAGTTTTTAAAGGGTTAAAAGTATCTTGAAAACAGCTGAGCAATTGTACAGACAAAGAATAGTGTAATGACAGTTTCAGGAACATTTCAAATCCAAAGAACATAATGTCACGCGTTGCTGTTAATGCAGATCGTTATAAAGAAAGTGCTTGTTAAGTGAAAATTAAGTACCTGGGGACAGACGGAGATAAGAAAGATACGATGCTTCATAGCAGTGCCACCTCGATGCACAAACACTAGTAGATACAGATATAGATTTTGCTGGGCAAGCTGCCTTCTTTTACTTCCGATCCTCCTACTTTTCCCACACAAACACTACCTCTGTGTGCACGCAGTAATTCTACAGTGATATGCTTATCATTATCGTATACTGACCCAAGGGAATCAAACAAAACTGGAATTCATCATATTGAAGTGGTTATGGTGCAAAGGCTCTTTTCTGCAGCCTAATTATAATTTTTTTTTTTTCATTATTAAAATTAATACAATTTTTCTGTTTGTAAGGACATCTCGCTGGGCTGTCATTCAGCTAAAATACTCTCTTCCTGTTTGTCGATATCAGCTTTATGGAATTTTAACTCACCATGGCTTGGTGAGTTAGATACACAGTGTCAAAGCTCCCGCTGCGTGTTTCTCAAGCAACTTAAAGGGACACTCTGGGCACCAATACAACTTGTGCATTTGATAGATTTTGGCATCATTAACATGCTGTATTTTTTGCATGCTCAAATTTTTATCGTTTTTGCATAAAATAGATAAATGTTTTGCAGAATTCTGCACCGTAAACCTGCCTCTTTAACCACGCCCTCTCATGCCAGAAACACTTCCTTATCAAATGTATGTACACAGCTCAGCCACTGACAGTACAGAATGAGCCAAACAAAAAAAACAAAAGCACCTCCATTAGAGTGT